AATTGGTCCTGTGCTCCCAAAGCAGGTATGGTTTATGTGCTGGATATCTCATCGGTGCGGTCGGTCCATGATTCATCTAGGGAAGGAATAGCTTTAGGCTCCAGCTGCTCAGATCAGTGTTGATAAACAATGTTGCTACCCTCAAGCATTTAAAAAACGTAAGTCAGAGCCCCACAAAAATGAGATTATTTTTAAACAAATTTGTTTTTATTTGCCACTGAGTTTTGAGCTGTTAAGATACACTTGGGTCATGTTTTCAAGTGTCTTGCTTAAAGCACAAGAGGCTTAAACTTTGTGTAAATGAAAGCTGAGATTGTCACATCATCTGAGGACACCAGGGACTGGGGTTTCAAAAAAACCCCATCAAATAGCATGAGACTCCTCATAAAATTGTCCGAGTTGGCAGCACTGATTGATACTCTGTAATGCTTTTCATAGCAGATTAAATTAAGTCTGAAAGAGTGGCAGAATGGGTAGTAAACAAACTAGAGCCTTAAAAAAATCATCATCGTATGATAAACCGAACTATCTATTTATTTACATTTGCTTTTGAACAAGTGGGAAGGTGTCAAACAGAAGACATGATGCACATGAAAAGGTTTCTAGAAATTGTTAATTTGTTTGTATGCGTGCGTGTGGTTTTTCTGCTTTGCTACATTTCAATTATACTTGTCTTGCTTGTTTTCCAGGCCATTAGTTTATTTGGGTTTAAAAGTTTTTGCCCGTTTTGGAGTCTGTGAATTTTTAAACTGTTCAGAAGCAACACTACGAGCCTGGTTTCAGGTGATAGAAGCCAACTACCACTCCTCGAACGCATACCACAACTCCACACATGCAGCAGATGTTTTACATGCTACTGCATTCTTTCTTGGAAAGGAGAGAGTGAAGGTACAACTTCATTGTGAGGTCTTTACTTTGACCCCTGGTTAAATGCACTTTCAGACTCATCAGATTATTCATTCATTTACAGATGTGTCCATGATAGTCTTGTGTTAGAAACAGCATATTTGTTGTTTGACAGTCACATGGTGGAGCCCAACATCTTCACAACCAGTATATAATGCTCCTGCTTCCTATGTCTGGTCTAGACTTCAAATCTGGCATAAGGAATTTCTCTGAGCTCCATAAAGCAATTGATAAAAGTAAGGAAATTAAATAGGTGTTGCAGGATCACACTATTCAGAAGCCACACCAGAAAGCTCTTTCCTTTTTGTAATATCTTGAAATTTTTACTGCAGCTTGCCTGGGAGGGGAGGGGATCAAGAAATGGCAATGAGGAGGACAACCTAGATTTATCATGTATAATAAAAAGAGCGAATACTGAGCAAAAGAACAATCAATAATGGTACTGGCATTATTTTTTTTTCTAAAAGGTCATTTTTAGAAATTGAATGCTAAAAGGTTTCTCGTTAGAACGACCATGCCCATCCCTTGCTTCTAGAAGCACTTCTTTATTCACAGAAATGTAGCTGAAGCAATTATAAAACAATCTGTGTTTACCCTTTGAAAAAAGGCATCTTTAGCTGTTTTACTAGCAAAAGGAAAAAGTTAGTATTTGGTTATCTACTTTCTTTACCCCAAAATACATTATTGTAGGTTTGTGATCAAAATCAACTGACAGACAGGTGCAGAAATTAAGTTTTTAATTGGGATAGCTACGTTCAAGTCAATGGCAGAAACAGGATATTTAATTCAATAGCAATTGTGGAACATGAGAATTTTGTTCTGTGCATAGCATTGTAATTGTACACAGTGCTTTTTCAAACACACAAAATAGAAACCCTGCTTCAAGGTGTTTACCATGCTCCAACAGAAGAAAGGGCAGAGAAATCATTGGGATGAAGACACAGCAGGGAAATTCCATGGAAAAAGTCACTTCAAGGGGAAGAGGGTGCTTTTGGTGCTCAATGAGTGGGAAGGTCTTGCATGGAGAGAAGGCCTCCGTTCTGAAGAACTTATATTTGAACTCAGATACTTAACTAGTGATGTTCTGAAGATTTGATTGTGGATGGTTAGTTCCTATGTGATGATTAATGGTAGTTTTACTCTTTCTTACAGGGAAGCCTTGACCATTTAGATGAGGTGGCTGCATTAATAGCTGCCACAGTTCATGATGTGGATCATCCAGGACGGACCAACTCTTTCCTGTGTAATGCAGGCAGTGAATTAGCTGTACTTTATAATGACACTGCTGTATTGGAAAGCCACCATACAGCGTTGGCATTTCAGCTCACAGCGAAAGACAACAAATGCAACATTTTCAAGAATATTGATAGGTTAGCTTGTTCTGTTTGTTTTATTTTATTCCATTTGGGCACTTGAAAATACCACTTTTGTTTCATTTAGAAAATTTGCACAAAAACCTTAATCACTTAGAACTAGATAATGCTTTTTTTTTAATCTAATGTTCTTCCCCACGTCAACATTCCAAATTATATGTTTGGAAATGTAAAGATGTTTCATTTTATATTACTTAAAAAAAAATCAACCTGACTAGAATCGTTGGGTTCGGAGGGGTTATAGAAATATAGTGTTACTATCACTGGAAAATTGAATTCCATGGATTAAGCAGATTTATTTCATACATACACCAAACTTTCATTATTTTAAACCATTTCTGTAAGTGCTCTGGTGACTTCCTGTTCCTGCTTATTTCAGACAGATTCTTTATCACATCCTTTTTGCGGTTGAGTGATTTGTAATTTTACCATTTAGTTTTTAAGTTTTTTGTAAAATGTCCATAGGCCACCAGAATCCCTGCTGACCTGAGTTGCTTTCCAATTACCAATTTTTGTGCTGGATTACTGTCTCGATGCTTTTTGTGAGTGTTGAGGAGATCAGGAGAGAGACTGTTAACTCTTGCAATAGCCTGCATGAATAAATTTTCCTTTTTTTCCCTCTTTTAGGAACCATTATCGGACATTGCGCCAGGCTATTATTGACATGGTTTTGGCAACAGAGATGACAAAACACTTTGAGCATGTGAACAAGTTTGTGAACAGCATCAACAAGCCCATGGCATCTGAGGAAACCAACTCAAATGTAAGCTAAGTCATCTTGCTGTTCTAAAGGACTCTGAACTGGTAAAGCATCAAGCAAACATTTAAATATTGTTTTCCTTGATTTATATTTATTGGAACTGAGGCTGCCCAAATGCTACAATCAAGATTCTGACACTATGGTGCTAGGCACAGTAAAAACATGGGAAAACATAATGCCAGGCCTTGACCCAAAGAGCTTAAATCGTCTCATGTGGTAAGGCATAATTTCAAACTTGCCTAATAGTGCCAACAAAATTTAGAACTATATCCATTTCTGCATGCAGAATTCTACATGTGAAGCAGAATCAGCATGTGTCTGTAGTATCCAGATCAGTTTATGTTCCCGGGTGTGGATATTTACATGAGCTTATGGAGGTATTTGCAGACTTTACATGTGCAAATAGAAAAGCTTTTGACAATTTGGCATCCACTAGTTTACAATGAAACACGTTTCTGGAGCCTTTAAGCAAGATAGAATGGTAAAAAGAAAGTGAGAATTATTCAATCTGCTGCCTTTGGTCTCATCTTATGGTCACCTCATGCACCTTAAACAGATACAGTGAGCTCCTTGACAACATCTCTGGATCAGATTTATATCCAGTACTTTTTGACTGAGCACCCCAAGTCTGGTGCCTGTTATTCTTGTTTGTTTCTCCTCAAAGTCAAATGTTTGGTCTGTGTTTCTATAATTAACTGTCACAACGTTCCTCAAAACAGTCTCAGCCACTAAAAAAACCTCTTCTAATTAAGCCTCTATTAAAACACATGTGAGAAAATACTCTCAAATTAAAGGTAAATGGTACAAAAATACATACCTAGGTCTAAGACACCCCTCATCTTACTTAGGTAAAGACCAAATGTTCAGGAAATTAATGCCGACCTCTTTAGGCTTCTGTCCTTCAACCTCATATCAAGATTTTTCTATGTTCACACATGGGCATGTTAATTTTCTTCTGGTATCAAGAGATCCCTTTGCCTGCCAGTTATATTCTTTATAACCTGTGGTGTCCAACCAATTCTGAAGCAGTAGCCACTGTAATGGGTACTGCTATACCAAACTAGCCACACACTATAGCAAACTAGCCACATTCAACTGGCCTAATAGCCACATGCAGCTAGGGGCTAGTGTGTTGGACACCACAACTTTATACCCTTTGAAAGGACAGCTGTGGGAATGCACTCGCACATTCACTGTGAAGTCATAGGGTTTTGGACAGTTACTTAATCTAGCTCTCCTTCCCCCCCACCTCCCCCCCCCCAAAAAGTATGATCTTTTCCAAGTTCATTAAACTGTATCTGTCTTTGTTGTTGTTGTTCAGGGTGGCAGTTGTCCTTTTCTTGTTTCTTTATTAATTTCAAAGTTCCTTCTTGCAAGTAAAATTATTCTGCACAGTGGCTTTCTCCCTAGGGAAGGCATGCTCAGTTACATGTAAAAAGATTGAGTTCAATTATTAGATAATAGGCAGATCTCTTTTAGAGTCTAAAAATCCCATGAGTAGAGCACAGATGTGACTTCTCCACAGATAGTATTCTGTCCACTGTCAAAACCCTTCCCTAACTGCAGTAGCATGGTTGACAAAACTGGAGGAAATGGCTTGTGGACCACCTTTTTATTGCTGTTTACCATTAATCCTTCCTACCATTCCTATTGTATTTTGCCATGTTTATAGGAAGGCAAGAAACCCTTTGTATTGGTAAAATCAAGAGGCGAAGAGACAACTCCGGTGTTTCCTGAGGATAGCGTTCACTACTCTACTTAGGTGGTTCTAGTACTCCTAACACACTCATCTATCCCTGCTGTTTCATATCTGTAAACAAGGAAAATCTCCTTCCTCCATATTTTTTCAGGGAGCTGTGATGAATAGCTGGAATTCATTTTCAATTGAGGCCTGTTTTGTAGCAGAATTGGATGACGGAATGCAATTTGACAAATTAAGACTACAGGTTAAACCTCTCTAGTTCAGAACTCTCTGGTCTAGAAACATCTGTCATCCAGAATGATTTTAGATAGCCAGATGTCCACTTTTCATGGGTGTGGCCAAGTTTCCCATGATCCCATAAAGTTTGTTTACAGCCACCAATCCTAGCTCTGTTCTGTGCTGTTATTTAGCTTTAATTTACTCCTGAATGTCCTCTAACAGCCCAGTAAGCAGTGGAAGTGTTGGTAATGCTGCTAGACAATATTGACTTCCCGTGATCTGGAAAATTGTCGTTCTGAACCGGTCAGTTAGCAAGAGTGCTGGACTAGAAAGGTTCACCTGTATTACATTTTGGGCTCGTCTACACTGGCCCCTTTTCCGGAAGGGGCATGTAAATTTCATGAGTCGTAGTAGGGAAATGCACAGGGGATTTAAATATCCCCCGCGGCATTTAAATAAAAATACTTTGAAATAGGAATAAGACCCTCCGGAAAAGGGCACTTTTTCCGGAGGATCGGGGCCAGTGTAGACGCTCTTTTCCGGCTTTTTTAAAAGCCGGAAAAAAGCGGCGGACATTTTTATTTAAATGCCGCGGGGGATATTTAAACCCCCCGCGGATTTCCCTACGACGACTAGTGAAATTTACATGCCCCTTCCGGAAAAGGGGCCAATGTAGACGAGCCCTATATGTTTAATGTCATGTATTTAGCACAGTACTTGTGTATCTTCTGTTAGCAATTATGTTTTTTGTTTTATATTTAAATTTCCCGTAGGATAAGCCTCGTTCCTTGCCATCTTCAGAAAGGGAGAACAAATGCTCCTTACAGTTACTGCATAAAATTGCTGGGCTTGGCACAGGGTGGCGTGGGCTTTGGCCAGCCTGCTGCTTGTGGAAACACAGAAGAAGTTCCACAACCTGCATAACTTCCTTGGATATGAACCAAAGTTTTGAATGCAAATCTTGAGACTATAGATCTGTGCTGGCTATTTATTATTAAAGCTAGAATCATTTTGAAGTTTTTCAGGAGTGGATCCATTTTAATATTTTCCCCATTTTTTTTAAACATTTTAATGCTTTCCAATCTAGTGCCTCGTCATAAATTTAGGTGCACAGATTCCACTGAATGTCATTGTGCTCCTAAGTCCCTGAAGTGGTTTTGAAAGTCTCGCACATTCAGATAGCAAAGGGATTTGCTTTATCCCTTACTGATACCAGGGCCGGCCCGAGCCATTCTTGCGCCGCAGGTGCGTGGCGCATGTGCGGCCCCAGGCAGCGGGCGCGCGGTGCATGGGGGGCACCTGATGCGGTGCCCCTTACCACTTCAATCAGGTGCCCCCCATAGGTTGGCACGGCTAACCCCCTCCCCCCCCCCAACTAAATGTTTTTCATACTTTCTTCTTGTCAGCATTTTTAAGGTATAAAAAGCATTTCCTCTGATAGGACACTCCTTAATTTTACTGCTTTGTATATTTTGCAATAGTTTCTGCTATCAAGACTTGGAGTAATAAAATTGTACCACAGAAGAGTGGCATTATAGGCTTTTTCAATCTAGCAGTAGTTCACTGTAGGTATTGTTAATAGCGTTTCTTCCTAGTTTTTGATATTGGAACAGCTAGGACAAAGCAGTAATTTGGCAGTTCTTTGCTAGGAAGTCTATGCTGAATAAAATTAACTTAACTATTGAGAGAAAAGTAATACTGCAATTGGTAACAGTCACTGCAAAATATTTCCTCATAAGCCACACAGACATTAATTTCAGCGCTCGTGGTAAAAAGTATTTATGTTCAATTTTGGACTGAGTTGAATGTAGTGGGAGAAGGAAGGACACAAATATATCACTTTGTGAGCAGCATTAATGCCACGGTGAACTCAGCTTTATTGCTCAATAAGCAGCCAATCGACAATAACATGCTTGTGCCCAGAGGGGGGGCCAGAGAAAGTGAGCCCCTCCCCATCCCTTCTGCATGCAGTTCCCCCAGCACTCCTTGTGGGGACATTAGGTTGGGTGCAGGGACTTTCCCCGCCCTGCATCTAGCACACTTGCAAATGTGAGAACAGTTAGGCTACAGGAGTTTCCCACCAGCAGGTGTGCTGGGTGCAGCAGGGCAAGCCCCTATTTCTGTCCACTGGCAAGAGTGCTGAGCAAAATGGGGCAGAGCACAGGGGCACCCCCAGTTGGCTGGATTCCCTGGGCGTGGGCTCTACTGGGCCAGTGGCTAATCTGTCACTGCCTGTGACCTGTAAACTAGGAAAGATCCAGGAGATGGCTCCATTGCAGATTTGCAACAAATGTTTCAACCCTGTCACCTACTGCACAAAGCAACTGGTAGGGTGAGAAGTGAGGAATTACTGGGACTTGTATCCACTGCACTGGAATGAACACTGCAGTGATCAATCCACTGGCCATCCATTCGTCACAATTGCTTAGACTAGGGATGTAAAATCCCATTTAATTAGTTAACCAGTTAACTGATGAAACGTGGGCGGGCTGAAGTAGCCCAGTAAGGGTGATGCTTACCGGTTACCCATTCGCATACCTAGCTTAGACATGATAAATCAATCTCCGAGCGCTCTCCTGTCAACGCTGGTACACCTCCAGGACGAGAAGAGTAGCTGGAGCCACCAGGAGAGCAGCACTCTCCAACCTTACCCCTCACAATATGTTGCAGTAAGTACGTCAACTTCAGCTATGCTGTTTCCATACAGAGGTGCTGGATCTAGGGGTGCAGAGGGATACTGCAGCACCCCCCGACTTGAAGTTGGTTCCACTATATGCAAGTTTTAGTTTGGTTCAATGTAGATATCATGTAATTGAATAGTCATGTAACCGCATGAGATCTTAGTGGTTACACGACTATTTGATAGTCCCCGGAAGCAGGACCAGCAGCCTGTGTGCTCTGACCCCTGCCATCCCATATTGCTGCCTTTCTATCAGAGGCAGCAGCATGGGGTGGCAGGCAGAAGCTGTCTGCCAGGGGAGCCAGTTGAAAAAACAGCTCCCTGCGCAAACTGTCTGCCTGTCACCCCATGCTGCTGCCTCTGATATTGAAGCAGCAGTGCAGGGTGGCAGTAGTCCCTCTCTGCAAGGAACTTGGACCCTCCATGGACATGGGCTGCTGCCACAGACCAGCCTCTGTCCATGGCAGGCCCAGACTCCATGGGATGCCTCTGTCTGAGGGGACCCCACTGATACATGCTTCCTCTCTTGCTGCCTCTGTATGGTCAATTACATGTTGACATTCCTAATTCAATAACTCTCAGCATCTTCACTATACAAATTAACGCACTTCTGTTTGCATAGCTGAAGTGACATAGATCAATGGCAGGGGTTAATATAGATGCCTTTGGAAGTAGAGAGTTCTTAAACATGATCTCTTCCTTTCTATTTCACTGCTGGTGGGTTCCTGAGTGGTCTGAAACCTACCCAAGGCATAAATGAGTAATTCCTACTCAGGGGCTTACTATCCAGCCCAAAAGCTGCACAGAAAAGTTACTGTTTGTTTTCAAACTTACAAAAATCCACTGTAGCTGCTGCATTATACTTGAACATGCCATAGGCAAGTCACTTTTTCTATATGCCCAAGTTTTCCCACCTATAGAGTGAGGCTCAAACCTTCCCTGCTTTATAAAACTCTTTGATATCTACAGATAAGAAGTGCTGCATAAAATCTACACATTGTTATAATTTCAGCTCTAAAATGCTGATTCCAATCAGGTCACTTCTGACTGAAAGCTGTTCACCAGCTTAGATCTGTCAGGTGATACTTATGCAATGAGATTTTGATCCATTGCCCACATCAGAAATAACCACCCTGCCCCCGAGTTGCTTTTCCTGGTTGTTGAGAGAGAACATCAGTGTCTTTTTCTTTCTTTTGCTGATTTCACAACTAATTCTGAAAACCTCCCAAACTTGTAACACAGGTAATGTGATTATAACTACCTGGTAATACTGCTGTACACAAGAGGAACTTTCTTCTTTCTGCTTTTTGTACATGTTGCTCATCATAATAGAGCCTCAAACTATCTGTATACCCTTGTGATAGGGTGATCTGCTCACCAGCAGGATGGCGACACCTCCTGGTAGTTCTAGGAACTAGCTTGCAAGGTTGACATGCCTACCCACAGTTGTACATACCCCCCCAAAAAAATCTCTCTTACTTCATGAGCTGTTGCTGCCTCCTCATGGCTTATCTCTCCAGGCAGGTCATTCTTCCTGTTTTCTCTTTCCAAGGTATCAGAGTCTTCCTTCATCTGTCTTAGGTACTGTCTTTCTGTTCACTGCCTTTTTAGTGCCCCTCTCTCAGTGACTGATGGAGGACTTGGGCCCACCATTTTTTCTTGGTTTCAGCTCATGGACCCTCTAATCCAGGGGTGGGCAATAACTTATGTGTGTGGGGGGGCACTCCAAGATTTTGGAAAGTGGTCAAGGGCTGCACTTTTCCATGATATTAATGGAGGAGGTCTGGGGTCTGGGATGGAGGTTGTGTGCACAAGGGAGCTTAGAGTCAGGGACTTGGGTGCAGAAGAGGATGTGGGGTCTGGGAGTGAGTTTGGGTGAAGGCGGCGGTTGTGACCTGGGGCACTGCACTGGGGTACAGGGATTCGGTTTGCGACCTAGGGCTGGGATTAGGGTACAGGGGTGTGGGTTGTGACCTGGGGCAGGTGACATGGGTGCAGGGTTTGGGAGGGGTATGGGTTCAGGAGGGGAACAGAGGGTTTGGCTTACGTGGGATAGGGGGGCAGGAGTGGCGGCCAAGGACTGAAATGCCAGAGACAGGCTCTGGCCAACAGACTTACCTAGGTGATTCCTGGCCAGCAGCCCAGCAGGGCTGCCTGCCTGCCCTGCCTCCACACAAGCTGCAGGGTCATGTGCACTGGTGAGTAAGCATTTGAGGGGTGGAGGAAGTGGTGCTTCGCACACTGCCTGTTCTTCAAACAGGCAGCTCCCATTGGCCAGAAATCCACCAATGGGATGGTGCTGGGGGCGGAAGCAGTGTGTGAAGCACTTCCTCAGGCTCACAGCTGAGAAATGGCAGCCGCTTTTCTGATCCTGGGGGGGAGGGGAAGCAGGGAGTCTGCCTGAGGCTCCCCACAGCATCCGCAGGCTAGATCCGGTGGCTTGGCACGTTGGATCTGGCCCCCGGGCTGTATTTTGCCCAGCGCTACTCTAACTAAAAGTCACTGTCTGTTCCCTTCTAGACCTTAGTGCCATTCCCCAAACCCTGTCCTGTTTTCCTGGCTCTCCCTCCACCCCCACTGGCTTTTCCAGCCCAATGCACCTCCCTTTTCCCTGCAGTCCCTTCTGCTAGCCCATCTCGTTCCTCCTCAGGGAATTGCTTAGCTTCCTGATTCCTCTGTACTATGGTCAGTTTGGTTAATTGTCCTCTTTCTTAGCCTACATTGGCATTTTCTAGGCAAGTGCAGAGTGAACATATGATCACAACCCAAAAATAAAATAAAATAAAGGCAGTAAGAGCATCAAAAAAGAACCATGGCTAAAAAGACTAAAAGAGGTGGTTAAAGACAAAAAGAGATTCTCTAAAAATCAGTTATCTGATATAGATCTTCCGAAAAATAGCAAATGTGATGCTGATTTTTTTTTTTGTTAGTCTCCAGGTGATCCTGGCAACTATAGGGTAGTAAGCCTAACTTCAATACCAGGAAAATTGGTTGAAAATCAAGGACAGAATTATCTCACACATGGAGTAACGAGATATGCAGGGGAAGATCCAGTATGACTTTCATGAAATGAAACCATGCCTCACTCATCTGTTAGAATTCTTTAAGGGTCCATTGAATACTTTTCCTTAAGCAAAAGTAAGGAGTTGTGCAAGAAGAAGAAAGGTCCTCTCATGGATCAGTAACTGGTTAAAAGATAAGGAAGAAATGGTGTGGAAATTAATGGTCCATTTTTCACAGGGGAAAGAGGTAAACAGCAGGGTTTCCTAAGGATCTGTACTGGGACTAATGCTGTTCATCATATTCAAATGATCTGGAAAAGGGAGTAAACACGAGAGAGCAAAGTTTGCAGAAAATATAAAATTACTCAAAATAGTTACATCTAAAGCAGACTGAAAGAATTTACAATGAGATCTCACAAACCTGGGCAATGAAAATGGCAGGAGACCTTTGGTGTTGCTATACCCCAAGGTTCTCAAACGGGGATCTGTAACCCCCTTTGAATAGGATTGCCAGGGCTGTCTTAGATTTGCTGGGGCCCAGAATTGAAGCCCAAGCCCCACTGCCCAGAGCCAAAACCAAAGCCCAAAGCTTTAGCCTTGGGCAACAGACTTCATATTGAAAGTCCCCTGCTTGGGGCTGAAGTCCCTGAGCTTCAGTTTTGCCCCCACCCCAGCCAGAGCAGTGGCACTCAGGTTTGGCTCCCTCATTGGGGACAGCAAGGGTGGGGTGGGCTCCGACTTCAGTCCCCCTGTTCCTGGGGTTGTGCAGTAATTTCTATTGTCAGCAGGAGGTCATGATGCAGTGAAATTTAATGCCTGTGATAATTGCAGAGTGATGCACTTTTAACCCCAATTATACAGGTTGGTCCTCCCTAGTACAGCTCCCTCAGGTCCTGACTGGTCCTAGGCAAGGGAGTTTTCCAGACCAGGGAAGGTCTTGGGGGGGAGGGGCAGAACAGATGCCCGCCTGTCTGCTGGGCTCTTCTCCCCAACTACCTGGCACCACTGCCCTCAGCTCCCTGGCTGGAGAAGCTCTGCCAGCTGTGAGCTCTGCAAGCCCCCACCCCATCCTTCCTGGCCCCCCTGCCCTGCAGACAAGGGTGGCCCCACTGGTTTCTGAGCCCAGCTAACTCTCCTTCTCCCAGCCACTGGCAACCTTGTGCTGAGGCTCTGTAGTCCAGCAACATCCATGGCCAGAAGGACCATGGATGTTGCCACACCAGAGAGTCTCCAACCATAGAGTTTCAACCTGTTCATACAAAATGATGGGCCGAAATTAGTTATCACCACTTGTAAGAGTACTTGGAATCACTATGGCTAGTCCTCCAAAACCACATTCAAGTATAGGTAAGAAGGCAGAAAATATCTTATTGCCACGTTATAAATCCCTGGTACGTCCACACATTGAATACTGCATGCAGTTTTGGTCGCCCCATCTCAGAAAAGACATTTAGAATTGTAAAAAGTACAGAGAAGGACAACAAAAATCATTAGGGGTATGGAACAGCTTCCATATAGGAAAGATTAAAAAGACTGGGACTTTTCTTCTTGGAAAAGAGACAACTGAGGTGGGAGTGGGGTGGGTATGACACCGGTCTACAGAATCCTGATTGATTTGGTGACAGCAGCCAAGGAAGTGCTTTGCAGAACACACAACCAAGGACCACCCAATACAATTAATAGGCAGTGGGGTAAAACAAACATAAGGAAATACTATATCATACAATGCACAGTCAAACTGTGGAACTCATTTGTTGTGAACATGTGAAGTCCAAAAGTATACCTGAGTCCATGAATGGTTGTTAGCCAAGATGATCAGGGACACAACCCCACGCACTGGGGTTCCCTACATCTCTGACAGCTAGAAACTTGGACTGGATAACGGGATGGATCATGGGATAAATTGCCTGTTCTTTCAAAGCTCTCTGAAGCATCTGGCTTTGTCAGAAGACAAGATACTGGGCTAGATAGTGCACTGGTTTGACCCAGTATGGCCATTCTGAACTAGCATACTGTGTATCTAATTGGAGAGCGCAGGGTGCACATTTGTTATAAGTGTGTCAGGGAGGAATGAAACAAGATGCTTATATTTGTATTGCTCATGTTGCCACCAAACTGATGGACTCCTCCCTCTGTTACAGAGTGAAGGCAGTGACTGTGAATGTACAACCAATGTGAAGAATTTTCCAGAGAACCAGACACTGATCAAACGTATGATGATTAAATGTGCAGATGTAGCAAATCCATGTCGCCCTTTAGAACTGTGTGTCGAATGGGCTGGGAGGATTTCAGAGGAATATTTTGCACAGGTATTTTTTTTTATTGTTTGAATACATCTCATTAGCTCACACGAGTACGCATGTACTACCCACTCTATGCTAGTCACCTTGGAGTCCAGCTAATGATCCTGTAGATTCAAAATAGAATTTTTTTAATCTGTTTTTCTCCCACTAATAGGGTCTCACTGTATATGAGGAAAAACATGTCTGCAGCTAAATCTTCAACTTGCTCCCTGCCAGGCAAGCTTGAGTTTGGTATTAGGTTTGCAAAGTGAAACTATTTCGAGGGAACATTTTTGTGCTTCAGTTGTACAACTTTGTTTATCTTCTGTCTGTCCAACAGATAATTACTCCTCTTGTTACAATCGCCATTCCAGTTTCCAGTCATACCACTCTCCCAGAATTCTTTATCTGCGGAGACTCCTTGGTGATTCAGTAAAGAATATTTTCCCTCAGTCATATTGGAACTATCACCTCAGCGTGGAGTTATGCAGCACTCTGCTATTGGAAGTGTTATTTTTCAGATATGATGTAAGACCAACCATGTGTGATCACTAAAGTTCCCATGGTAACCTTCATCAGAACAGGGACCTGAGCTCTGCTTTCCTTCCTAACTCTTAGTGCCATTATGCCTCCTCCAGACACTTCCTGCAGTTTCCAGAAAATGAAATACTCTTAAGTTCCCCCTCCAAAGAACTGTGGACTATTAAAAAGCTGTTGGGTTCCACTCTGCTAGTAGCAACATTTCAGCAGCAAGAGAAGTGAACTCTCATCCCGATGCGTGTTGGCTTGAGCATAAAGTGCTTAAACCACCGCAGCTAATAGGGGCTGCTGTAAATTATGTTTTGCATTGCTATGTGTGACTTCCCAAATAGTGTGCTCTAGGAGAGCTGCACGGGAGACAGACTGATGCATTTCAGCTGTCAAAATCCAAATGGGAGATATGGCACAGTTATTAATGGGAGATGTGGCACAATTCTGCTTTGTTTCCACTGAGTGAAGCCTCTGGGTACTTTCTAACCTGAACACTTAAAATGGACTTGTATTGATTTAAAATAATACTTAGAAATAAATATGTCATTACAATTTAGTACTTACTATCATTGAGGCAGAGGCTAACTTTAGCTCTAGGCACTTGTTTATCTTTATATTTAATATTACAGTTTAATACTTATAAAATTACACTAAGGAAAAGAGCAAACGAGAGAAGTTTTTTTCCTCTTTGTCTTTCTCCTGTGCCCCATGGGTAGAACTCTGTAATGGGTTTCTAAGTAGGACTTTGGAATAAGAGACTAGACTAGTCAATGCAGCAATCACAGCAGGTCCACACAAAGGAAGTGCCAAGGTTAGTAACTTTACTGTAAATAGGTGTTTTTAATAATCCTCCAAGTAGGAGCTTTTAATCTGTCTTAACTAATGATACTGTAATCTTTTTAACCCACTAGTTTGCAATTTTTGTGTTCTGGTGATTGGCTAAAAAACTTTTAGTCTACTTACAAATTCATCTAATCCTCAGATTGCCTTCACTCTAGTATGGTAAAGCTTTTAAGGCTAAAATTAGTTTTGTTTTCTACAGACCGATGAAGAGAAAAGACAGGGTCTACCGGTTGTAATGCCAGTATTTGACCGAAACACCTGTAGCATCCCCAAGTCTCAGATCTCCTTCATCGATTATTTTATAACAGACATGTTTGATGCCTGGGATGGTAAGAAGTTCCACATTTTCTTCCTTCTGTTTTGAAGAGCAAATCCCTGCTACAAACTTAATGGTATTCACTATCTTAAGCCCTGGTTCTGCTACTATTTTCCAATTCAGTTACTGTGTCAATACTGACTGTGCAGGAGGATCTAACTATTATTTGTATAAATTGCAGTTTATATGGAAAAAGCTTTATTGCGGATTATTTCTGAGAATCAAGTACTTTTAAAAATAAAACATGTTATTCACCTTATTTAATGATTTATGATTGAAAATATTTTTAGCAACTTTCTCCTTGAGCAGAATATTTCTTCTGAGCAAATGAAAATTGTTAGATTTTAATGGGATTTGCTGACTGTGCTGTTTTCACAGCAACAGCACAAATGGTGCCTCTACGGATCTGAACAATAGTACAAACAAGTAAAATAAGGGCAAGATTACACTCACCTGCCAGATTATAATATAAATGTTAGGCCAAGTAAGGCTGGTGCCATACTTCTGAACCCTTTGTGCCATACAAAGCTGTGATATGCTGTTGTTCCTTCTATGCACTGCAGCATTTGCACATCTACCTGTTTTGATGCAACACTTGGCTGATAACTACAAACATTGGAAGACATTAGATGAGTTAAAGTGCAAGAGTCTCAGGCTTCCAGCAGAGAACAACTGAAGCTAAGAAGAAAACAGGCCCTCTTGATCTACCAGTCACACTGTGAATCCTTTACTGAATTAGATACAAGAGGCATGGTGTCTCCTTTAATATGAACTTAATCTCTGCAGCAAGGAGAATATTTTATTCCTCACTTTTAAAATGCTCTAGATTCTACAACATTGCTTTTCATAAAGGTATGTATGTAACTGGAAATGAATAAATGATCTTTGGAACTATCCTTTCATGGCAGAACAGGTATTTCTAAAGCTAATTTGTAATGTTTGTTTAGTGCGTTTGTCAAATCTTGTAACAGGTGCAATCTTATTTAGTGACTAAAAGACATTATGTACAAAAGGTTCTCCTACAAAAGTATAATCTATTCTCCTGTGAAATGCAAAATAGGTTACTCAAACGCAAAACAGAATAAAATCTACCATAATTTGGCATAAATGTGTCCCCCTTACATATGTTTTCCTCACAAGGAAAACCCTTTGAGAAGTTTAAGACACTCCAGAGTAGAAGTAGTAAGGCTTCACAAATTGTTAGGATAAATAATTGTAAAACCTACTGTTTTCAGAGAGGAACACTACTTAGACTGCCTACACACTTTAACCTTTTGTTTTTAATCAAAGATTGAATATACCTTTACCTCAGTCATATGGGACAGACCAACCAGTTTCCTTTCTTTCCCATATAAATGCTTGATTATTAAAAATAAATCAGTCAGATTTAATTCAATTTGTTACATAAAGAACATTTATTGTGGTTCATATAACTGGCGTGATTCATTTTTGTCTGTGCTGTCATATCGGTTACTGGGGACTTTTAATCATATTTTATATTAGCCAATACACTGTAGAACAGATTAATAACCTTTTTAATAAAATGTGACCATATGTACAAACAATTAAGATTTTATTAAACTGATCTAAATTTTATGGACACAAGGCCATATATTGTGTTATATATAGTATGGACCTGTAGCTTTATGAGTTTTCAGATTATAAATTATAACAGCATTATAACTTATGCTTTTTCCCTCTAATAAAAATACTGTTTTATTAGATGATGTAAAAAGTATTTCAAAAAATGTAAATAAGTTAGAAACTGAAAGTATTTTCATTAGTTTTAAAATATGAAATTTATGGTAACGCTTCCAAAGCACAAATGCATATTTTTATACATCTCATTTTAATCACTACTTTGTGCAAACCCTGAGTTCAAGATTTTAGACTTTGTTTATACTAGCAAAATAGCTAATGGAAATTACTGATTTTAATACTGTGTGCACTCCAAGCTACAGTCGAGTTACAAGCTGTGACTTTTATATAAAAGAGGTAGCACATTGCTCATAGAAAATAAAGGACTTTGGACAAGTTCTAGACCTCTGTTTTGTGCTATATCAAGTAGCAAACCAGGCGAAGAGAAAATACGACATACTGCTCTGGAGGAAATATGACAATGATTGTAGTTTACTGCAGGAAGCTTACATAATGTGCCAACATTTTTCTATGTTTTGTACCAAGTTATGTAAACAAAGGGAAACGGCATACAATTTCCATGCAGAGAAATGTATATAAGCTATATTTTTGTTAGAATTGTAATAGAACCTTACTTTTGTCATAGCTGGGGCAGTTTGCTGTGTATGATAATGCTGCTTTGTGTATATTTGAAGAATGGTGTTTTGGGTGAACTGTTCTATATTCATTATTCTCATGATGTCCCACTATTAGCTCTAATTACATTTTTTTCCAATAGATTTTTATTCAAATAAGTTGACCTCCAGGTTTTATACTGTAAAAATGTTTGCTGTTCTCATTCTTCATTTTAAGAGCAAGTATTCTGGCAGTGGTTGTATCCTGAACCATTTATATGCTAAAAGACTGTAGCTTCTGTTGGGAGAAGGGGAAAGATCTCCCATGAAACGTCATAGTGTTGTGTCTAACTCAGTTTGTTAAATTCAATATCTGTTTTCAGACTACAGATGTTCTGTATAAAGATTTATTTCAGCTTCCTATTGTCAAATTTTATACCAACTTTAAACTCTTACAGTACTGTAGATATGTTAACTGTTGAAGAAATAAAGCTCAACCACATTTCTGTTTACCTGAAGCTTTAATCTGCAGTCAATATTAGTTGTAAAATTCTAACTTACTTAGCCTCAATTTTTGTTTATTCACTGATTGAGGAAAGTGCAGAGTACAATGATGACCTTGTCCAATAAAAGTCTTAGGCTATGTGTATACCACTTATACCAGCAAAACTTGTCACTTATCCTTGTTGGGTTTTTTCCTTTCTTCTGTTAGAGCTTTCTCCTGCTGGTTTTAGCGTAGGAATGAGTGGCCTGATCCTTATGTTTTAATTGGGCTTCCTATAGCTTCAACTCTGCTAAATTCAGAATTAGACTTTAAACCTTTCCCCTGATTCAAAAGGAAGAGGTGGTACAGGAAAAGCTATGGCTCTGTACTTCAACAGGATGCATGACCATCATGCCCTAACAACCTGTTTTTAAAACTGCCATGTTTCTCTCTGGGCTTACTACTTTAAAACTAACAAAAAAACTTCCCCCAGATTTCTCTCTAACACTAAACAAGCCATTTCTAGTCTGTTGAATACAGAGGTTCTTGCATTCTAAAAAGCCTAGCAATTATCAAACTGAGATGAGGAAATGATTAAAAGTGGAAAGCTAACCTGTAACTGTGTACTAACCACACTGTTACATAAGCCATCTCAGGTGCATTAATCCCCATTAAGGACACTACTGTGAGAGCTTATCTAGACTACTGGGAACAGTCAAAAGAGGATATGCAAATTCCACAGGAATTTGCAGATATTCTTCTAATCATGCTTTCGAAAGTGAAAGTAGTTTAGACGCAGCTTTTTCTGCAAACCTCCACTTGTCGAAAAGCCGCAAAAACCTCAATGCCTGCAGAATTTGCATATCCTTTCGACTGTTCCCAGTAGTCTAGATAAGCCCTGAGCTACCAGTAGCCTTCTACTTGGAGTTGGCAAAACAAATACAGTCAATGGCCATTTCTTCCCCTACTTTTGTGCACATTATAAAAATTTAAAATACTAAAAATCATTTACCTAATGACATTCATGTTTCTAATTTTCTGCAGACATTTAAACCCAAACCACTAATCAAAAAGCCATCTACTTCTGCATTTAAGTAAGAGACTATATAAATGAAACCACTAATTATGTTTTGTTGACCCTCATGTGAGGGTGGCTGTATTAGAAGTAGGGATATAAGCAACTACTTGAGTAGTCAACTACCTGATAAGCTTAGGCTTATCAACTAGTTGAGTCTCTTTCTCCCACCCCTCCACCTCTGATAGAGGCAGCAAGGGGGAGTAGGGACAGGAACTAGTGCTGAGGGAGCTGGCTTAAAAGGGAGGCAGAGCCACCCATGCTGCAACTCGGTCTTGTAAATATACTAAGAGCCGTCTAGGCAGAACCACAGCCATCTGGGACCCAGCGCAAGCTGGGACTACTGAGTCCCAGCTCGCACTGGGTCTTGGACCTACTCCCCCTCCCTCGCTGCAGACTGCCTGCACACCTGGCCCCTACAACATTTAAACGGCAGCACCACAGCAGAGGCTTATCAACTAATAGTGTAATCAATATAAATTGTATCAAGTACACGATTAGTCATTTACCTGCTTAACATCCTTAAGTGAAAATCCCAACAAACAACTGTTTGATTCAACTAAGAATTTTAGTCTAATGCTTATCTCTAGATTGATTCTTTAAAGAAATTATGGATGGAATTAATATCAACTGATATTACTAACAATGGTTTAAAAAACAAACGTGGCCCTCCTGTTGAAACAGACGGCCACTATTTCAAGCACATAGTTCTTTGGCTGCATAGTATAATAGCAACTCATAATTCAAAGCAAGGGAGAATATACCATCTTTATTGTAAAACATTTTAAAAGTATGGCATAATGATACAGGATGTTATTTTCAAATAGCTTAATTTCCTTTTCTCACACACCTAACATACAAAGCTCATGCTACCTCTTATTCAACCAAGTTAGAACCTAAGCTACAAATCATTATTTTGCTCTAATTTCTGAAATAATGCTAAACTTCGCAGTCTAGACTCTCTTTCTCCATCTTTCCACAAAATAATAAGGTGGTCAGCAGAGCATGTCACCAGTCCAAGTTCATCAAAGTACAGGAACATCTGCAACAAAAAAATTTAACATGATTATGCAACACATGTAGATGTAGGCAAGTTGCTTATTTTCAGCACATATTTGCTGCGGTGGTACCGTGCCCAGCTGCATCTGGTAGGCCGGTAAGTAACCCACCGGTGCCGCCACATGTTGCGGCACCGCGGTCTGCTGCTGAGATGGCACTCCCAGGGTGTAAGCTGGCATCGGTGCTGGGAGAGGCAGCAGCGTCCATGCCGTGCAGGGCACCGGCTGTGGTGCCGCGGCCGGCGTATAATACGGTGCGGGGCCCTGCACCGCCCATGGGCCCATCTGGGGTACCGGTGCCAGGTGCCCAGGTGCCAGGGCCATCAGTGCCGCAAGCGCACTCACTCGCGGTGCCGCTGCCTGTGCTGCCAAGTAGGGTCCCGGAGTCAAGGCCGGTGTTCGTCCCGGCTCCGGTGCCGGTGCCCTTGCCGGCACTGGGAAATGCTGTTGTTGTTGGGCCGAGGCCTGCCCTTCTCCCAGAGAGACCCACGGCCCGGCTGCCATAGCCTGCTGGGGGTACGCTCAAGGCCGACACTGGCACGGTCCGCTCCCGCGGCATCGGGCCCTCCCCTTCCTCCGTGGCCATCTGGATGAGGTCCCGGGCTGCCTCAAAGGTTTCTGGGGTGGAGGGACGACAGACCTCTCCTATCCCCGCAGGCTGCCCCGGGCTCTTGCCCTTGTCTGGGCTGCGCCTCTTCTTCGAGGCCTTAGAAGATAGGTGCCCCTCCTTAGGGCGCACCTTCTGGGCACTCCTCTCCGCAGAGCGTCCCCTCGAGCTCTTGGAGGCCCTCGGCACCGGGGACTGTGATCTATGTCTCAGTGCCTTGTCGGTCTCAGGTCGGTGCTTGGCCGACACGGGTGCCGCCGACAGATTGAGGGCGCTCCTCGCCTTGGGGCTGCAGTGCCGACTCCATTAACAGGAGTTTCAGCCAGGAGTCCCTCTCCTTCTTGGTCCGGGGCTTAAAGCTCTTACAGATAGCACAGCTTTCGGCTCAATGGCCCTCTCCCAGGCACTTTAGACAGTCGGAGTGGGGATCTCCGCAGGGCATAGGTTTAGAGCAGGAATCACAGGATTTAAAGCCCTGGGGTCCTGGCATGCCCTCCCCTCATGGGGAGGGTCCCGCTGTGCTCCCCTATCTAACTAATTACACTATTTACAGCACTTAACTACTTAACTAGATAAAACTTCAAGTAGATCTATAATACAACGGATAAAGAAATACAGCTGCTAAGAGATAGGCTAACAGCCTGAAAGCATGCTCCAGCTACCGTCACGGGCGGTAAGAAGGAACTGAGGGGGTGGAGGGGCCAGCAGGGGTATATATGCCCTGGTATACTGGTGCCACTCCAGGGGGCTCCCTGCTGGCCCTACGGATACTGCTAAGGGAAAAAAGCTCCGGAATCCGTGCACGCGGCGCGTGTACACCCAATCAGAATGGACATGAGCAACACATCTTGAGGAACTACAGTTACGAGGTAAGTAACCTCTTCTTTTCAGCACATATTTTCATTGAAATGTAGACTAATGTTTTCCATGTATGTGAGATTTCGTACCAAATTTGCCGAACAAATGAGAGGCAGAGCAGAAAAAACAAGTTGTCACAATCATCTCTGGTACTTTCAAAGTATTTTAGCAAAAGTCATCTCTTTTACAGATGGGAAAGCTGACCCATAAATGAAGTGACTTGCCCAAGATCACCCAGCAGGCAGAACCAGGAGAAAAAGTAGGTCTCTATGCTCTACCCAGTGGGCAGCACTGTCCTTCCACATCACATCAGGGCTTATGTCAATGTTCCAGGGGACCTACATGCTGCTAGAGATCATATAGTAAGTGAGAAGATGGCAACTTCTTCAGACAGGAAAGTATGTCTAGCCAAGGCAAACAGACTGACAGGAAAGTGGCCAAGCTAGAACAGCTAAAGAACAGAAGAAAGACAGTTTACAAGACAATTAGGACTGACAAATGGCACTACTGGCAAGTAGACAGCATGAAGAAAGGGAAATCCCTCAAGACTTCTCTTCATGGACTAGCAACAATCTGCCACCAGTCAAGAAGCAACAAACAGTAAAAGGAACCAGAAATGGCAAAACAGCAGATGTCAAACTGTCAAAATACTAAAACAATTCAGAGCAGCAGTTACAGGAACATGTCAGAAGGCACAACTATCTTAGTTGCAATATCCTGATCCCTCAGCTGATTAGGAAGCTTCTGTCCTCAGGAAGCATTCAACCAAAGGAATCTATCACAATCTGCCTCCTCCAGGAATAGGCAAAAACAGTTACCAGCAATGGGGTTTCCCAGGTGGAAATACTTCAAATCCACAGCTTTGGATATCATGTTTCACTGGCAACTTTCATTATGCCAGCTATATTTCCATTGTAAACTGCTCCTGTTTGCTTGGAGTTAAAAATTACAATATTCCCCATGCAAAATGCTGCAGTAAAGAGACCGAGTGATACGGATATTGCCAAGATATTATAAAGACTACTGAAGAATAAACAATTGCATAGTGGCATGGGGTATTTCAGTCACTGATTCATATGCACCTGCTGCAAGAAATGGCTGTGGCTTGCTGTGAATTGGATGTGGCTGGAGTTAAGCAAATATGAATTTTTGCATGCAAATCAAATTGAAAAATGGAAAAATGTTTAGAGCATAGGGATACATTTTATCCTTGGCTTTGTTTTGCCAGAGATCCAAGTGGGGACGTCTCCCCAACCAACTCTTTCTTTCCCAGGGTACATAACCTTTCTTATGCTGAAATTCTAGAACAAGAAATAGATACTCGTGTTTGTGTTTCCCAGACTGGAGAACCTTGAAGATGCAAGGGCAGGTGTAGACACTTAGAGTTAAAATAAAACATTTTACTGGGCAGATAGCAGCCTGGAGAGGTACCTGATTTTAAAAGACAAATATAAGAACTCACACTGTATACATAAGGACATTTAATGCTGCTTTCAACCAATAGCCAAAAGAAACATTATTAGCAATTTCCCATAGAACCATAGAATAATAGAACTGGAAGGGACCTCGAGAGGTCATCGAGTCCAGCCCCCCACCCTCAAGGCAGGACCAAGCTCCATCTACACCATCCCTGACAGATGTCTATCTAACCTGTTCTTAAATATCTCCAGAGAGGGAGATTCCACCACCTCCCTTGGCAATTTATTCCAATATTTGACCACCCTGACAGTTAGGAATTTTTTCCTAATGTCCAATCTAAACCTCCCCTGCTGCACTTTAAGCCCATTACTCCTTGTCCTGTCCTCAGAAACCAAGAGAAACAAATTTTCTCCTTCCTCCTTGTGACACCCTTTTAGATATTTGAAAACCACTATCATGTCCCCCCTTAATCTTCGTTTTTCCAAACTAATCTCTGTACCCTTTCCAATTTCTCCACATCTTTCTTGAAATGTGGCGCCCAGAACTGGACACAGTACTCCAGTTGAGGCCTAACTAGTGCAGAGTAGAGCGGCAGGATGACTTCACGAGTTTTGCTTACAACACACCTGTTGATACAACCTAGAATCATATTTGCTTTTTTTGCAACAGCATCACACTGTTGACTCATATTCAACTTGTGGTCCACTATGACCCCTAGATCCCTTTCTGCCATGCTCCTTCCTAGACAGTCGCTTCCCATCTTGTATGTATGGAACTGATTGTTCCTTCCTAAGTGGAGCACTTCTATAAATGTTTTGATTGATGTATGAAAATCTCTTCTTCATTCACCTTACAGGACAGAAGGCTTCTAAATAGGCTTTATTTATTATAGCCCACTGGCTTAGAGTTGGAGTCTAAGCCTAGAGCCTGCATATCCAGGTTCCCAATGCCAGTTTGAGATCTTTAGAGAACTCAAGTAAAATTTGTTTAAGAAACCTGATTATGCAGAAGGTGGTATCTTCTATGGTTTCTATTTCTACAGTTCTCTTCATGGATCTGTAATTGTTCTAAATCTTTTACAAATTTTGTACTAGCAGATTTGACTTGTCTCTTACATTGCTCAATAAATTATAATTAGACATCACTTTGCCCCAGACACCTTTGTGATGGACTTGGTTTCTCTTTTTTCAGAAATTTTCTGTGAAAGCAAAGCCAAAGCTTAGGCCTCCATGCTGCTCTGCAGCATGACAATCAGATTCCCCAAGACATCTCTTCACAAATTAGATGTTTAAGAAACAACATTATCAAAATTACAGCATTAATGGGATTCATGCTTTTTTGCTTACTAAATTCTACATACCTGCACAGCTGATGAATGCCCAATCAAATCACCAATTAGCTCCAAGGAATATGATGATGTGCTTTCTTGCATCTTTTTAGCAGTTTGGCTTGCTTGCTTGTTGGCCCTTCCAAATCCCCACATGGTCAGAAACCCTGGCACGCACATAAGAAAATCCTTCTGTTTGGCAAAGGCTTCTATTAACATTTGACTGACTAAACATATACTTAGAGGACTCTGGGATATTGTCACTTAACTCAAAAATTGTGACATTACAATTTGAATAATAAAAATAACCAATGAGTAAAACACATTTCTGCATTATAACTACACACTTAAATCAGGAGGTAACAAACTCTATATACTGCCCCCCTGCATAGACCTGTCATGGCAGGCAAATTAAATTACCTGCTTAGATTCTAAACGGGATGAGACAGTGAAGATGGTTTAGCAGAGAGAAATAGCTTAGAAAAAGAGTAGGTTTGTCTCTACTCTGAGCTGCTGATTGGTTTTTCTTAAATTGACTGGAAAAGGAGGAATGAAGAAGCACTGATCTCTCTCTCTCTCTCTCTCTCCCTCTCCTCAGTAACTTGCACAAATACGTTTTTATGTTTGACAACAGCTAACAAGCCCAAGTTTCTGGTCCTGCACTGTTTACCTCTACATTCTCCTTCCTAAAGAAAACTATCACTTAAAGGGACTTAAGGACAAAAAAGCCCCTGCCAACTGCTCCTCCAGGATTGCTCTCAACAGCTGTTGTTCCTGGTTAATCAGAAGCAGCTGCAAATTCAATTTTCTTAAGTTACAAACTTAAGCAATAAGGGGCTGGTAACTCTGTAATTCACAATACGGATAGCCCTTCTGCTGCTGCTCTTTCCCCCATGTACTATATGCAGTCTCTTTTATCCAGGTTGATTCCCTACAGGTCAGTACTCATTTAGACCCCAGTCTCCAACCACACTGGGTAAATTTATGAATGACAGTTGAAAAAATTGGGCATCCTCTACAGGCTGAAGGCAGGCTGGATTTTGGAGAGGGAGAAACAACCCCAGGGATCATCTACAGTGCCAGGTGAGGCAGATGCTGGCCTCAGGGTGCTGTTTTGCTTGTTTGTTAGTCATAAAAGGGAAAATAGAATGTTTGAAGTAAAATGTTTCTGTATGTGGATTCATTATTCACTCATCTAAAATGTTCTGGGCTTGAGAACTAAATTTTCTTTGAGCCTCCCTCCATGTTGTCAGCAATGCCCTCCTGGGAATAAAGGAGCCGGGTGTCTTCCATCAGTAAGTGAATATAAGTATTCCCAGGAGGGCATTAAGGAGCCGGGTGTCTTCCATCAGTAAGTGAATATAAGAGTAAAGTGAAGTGAGAACCCAAGTGCTATCCTGTGAATCTTTGTATTATGTAACTATGGAGGGGAGGATGCTAAAGCGCTCCCTGCATGGCGTGCCTTATGGGCTAGGGCCAGCCATGCCTAAACATCATCCAACCGCTCTACTTTCTGACTAGAGCACATGCACACACAAAAACACAAGAAGGGTAACAAATTGGAAACCTGTATGAGAGTGATGACAGGACAAGTGAACAAGAACAGTACTATACAACAGCAACTCCATTTATTCCCCTAACATGTAGTAGCCCCATGTAACCTCTTCATTTGCTTTTGATTATAAAAGTTATGTACCGCCTGAGGACATCTTAAATCATGTTACATCACAACTGAGCAACACAGCTGAGACTTTGAATACCGAGTATAGATTTCATATTGAAGTGTTTATAATCAATAGAGAGTGAAAACGGTTTGCAAAACGTCAAAATAAGTTAGAATGACTCTCCAAGGAAGCTGTGATCTGTGGTGCATTTTCTAAGAACAGAAAAACAGGCTTAAATATATCTCCGTTCCAACAAAGACCCTAAGGAAGAACAAAAGGGAGAAGGAGAGCTCTGTGTGGTGGCTCTCTGCAACCAGCCGTGGCTTTGACAAGGCTCCCCCTGTACAGTGGTCTACCTGGCCAGAACTTACTGCAGAAACTGCATAGATGAGGCTATGCATTCCAGCTGTCTGAAAGTTGCTTTATTTATAAGTTCAGGTGGGGGGGAGAATAAAGGAAGAACAAAATTTCCCATGAAAGCTGCTTCAACTGCAAGCGTGTCCTAATTTAATTTTTTTTATGTTATTCTGAGGAGCATCTAGTCTTCTACAGTCAACTTTGGTGTCCATATGTGGATGGGTATTTATTTAACATCAGTTTTATATACCCAATTCTCTTTGGAACTATAGACAAACCTGTTGGAACAGGCTCAGCTGGAAGCTGCTGCTTTTCTCGTAGCTCCCAAATGCGAACACTGCCATCTTCTGAACACGATATCAACTGCCTGTCCAACCAAATGAGAAATTATATTGAAACAACCAGCATTAACACATTAACACAAATCTACTTATAAAATGTCATTACAATACAGTAAGTACCCCAAGATTCTACCCAATTTTATTACCAGTAGCTCTTCAGACATTTAACATGATTTATTATTTAACCTCTCTTGCAATAGGAAAAATTAGTGAACTCAGAAAAACTAGTATAAAACTATACAAATTTGCAATCCCCTCTAATCTAATGCTTTTATAAATGTATTGCTTTTTTTTAAAAAAAAAGCTAGTCTTAAGCTGCAAAGACCAATGCATGTATAGTCTTTAAGCAGTGAACACTCATTCCATTAGATTACTGGCATGCTTTAAGTTAAGCAAAGAATGTTTGCAAGATCAAGGCCTTATGTTACCTTCTGAGACATCTCCATAAAAACAACAGTGGAGAACAACAACACAGCTATTAGATGTAAATGTCCATCACAACCAGCTGTCTTGTCCTAGCTCTGTTTTAATAGATTTGTAACACATCTGGAACTATTAAGCTCCTGGTAGAAATTTGGCTCCTAGGAGAAAAACTAGGAGTGATTATTTTCTGTTCAATATTTGTTCATTAAATTAATTAGGCTGGTTTTGAGCAACCTACATGTTTAAATGAGTTTTATCAAATTGCTTTGGTTTAGCTTTACTAAAAAATAAATGTGAAAAGATATTTCCATAATATAAACTAATTATTTTGCTAAATTTGAATTTTAAAAAGTAAAAGCTTTGTCATTTAGAAGCTGTGTACTGAGCATCCTGAATGATGATATTCCATATCAGATTATAATGATGTAGTTTCAAAACTAAAAACAAGGCTCTCAATTTCTTAAAGGCAGATCAAGCCAAAGATCAGGTATCCTATGCTGCCTTGAAGTTAAATGTAATCGTGCACTTTGGCCATATTCACCTTTCTGAGCTTTGCATTTCCCTACTGCATTACAAAATTTACCATGACTTTTACCTGCTTGGAAGTTTTGCAATGTGCAATACAGTAGAGTCATGAGCAGTTCTCTGGCAGGCTATCAGACGCTTCATTTGAAGGTTATAGACATATATGCCCTTCCCAACAGCAGCAAACACACACTAGAAAGAAAACTCAATAGAACATCATACAGAAACATCTTGATTTCCAGAGGTATTATACAACCTATCCTTTTAACCTGCATTAAAGCACTGCCTTCTGACATTTAAAAATACCAAATTGGTAACGCTTTGACACTTCCTGGCTGAGAGGGGAAGATTGCTTAATAGGGAGGAGATCTTGTATATCATTGTTACAAAATTAGCACAGCACAAAAATATACTTGTAATTATACCTGAATTCCATTGCGTGTTTCTTTTATGGAATATTTTTACTCAAAAACATTTAAATATATTGTGACAGTGTGCTCCCCACACTAGCCCTGCAGAGCAGGCTGCAGAGATGAGTTAGTCTCTGGGAGGAGGGGAGTGATAAGAGTGACCAAACCTAGAGGAGTGTAAGTGAGGAAGACCAGGAGGTATGGAAATTGCTCAGGGAAAGGCAGCACAGTACAAAAACTGGAGCTTGGTTGTGGTGTAAAGAGTCCCTGAGCCAAACCTGGAGTAAATGTTGGGACTTGGTACCTCCACCCAAGCAGAAAACTGACTGACAGGCTGCTGAAGAGCAGAAACCTTGATACCCTCCTCCTGGAAGAGGAAACTACAAGAGTGACCTGTCCGGAAGGCTCATAGAATGCTGTGGTTCTGGGAGCAGTAGAGGGGAATCTGTTGGGATATACCCACTAGGAGCAGCAGCCTGACAGAGTTAATCCTAAGGCCCACCAGGAGGCAGCACTATCCAGCAGCGAGTAGAGCAACCCATTACAAACTGGTGGAGAATGTGGCAGGACGGGCGGGAGGTGTCATGAAATAAGGAGTCAGTACAAGTTACATCTCTACAAACCAGAACTCTCTTGTCCAGCAACATCTGTGATCCTGGTGTGCTGGGGGGCTAGTGCGATGCAAGGGCAGGGAAAGCTGGGAATGGGCTGTGGGAGGGAGGTGGGATTGGCACGTATGACCCAGCTGGGCTGCCCAGGGGAGCTGGATAGCCTGGTGCACAATTCAGCTGGGCCCCCAGAGGTTTGGGGGGAGGGGGTCAGAAAGGCCAGCATACAGCTGAGCTGGGGGGCATTGGAGGGGGGTAGAAAGCCCAGTGCATGACTCAGCTGGACTGCCAAGGAAGCCAGGGAACCCAATGGGGCAGCAGGGCAGGGGGTGGAGCCAGCAGCAGAGGATCCAGAAATGACCTCCCCTGGTCCAGCTAAATTCCTCATCTGGGACCAGTTAGGGCCCGATGGTGCTGGACCAGGGAGGTCCAACCTGTAAGAATTCAGGTGAGGGGCAGTAAAGACTTTCTTTGCTAGGGGAAGATGTCCCCTACTAGGGTGGATGCTGGAGTTGTTGTTCCCACAAAGGGGAGATAAGAAGCAACAGGAGTGGGTTCCTGCTATGTGGGGATAGATATTAGAAAACCAGCAGCTTTACAGAATATCTCAGCAAAGAAGCAAGAGGAGTCACAAAGGCCAGGAATGGGAAAGGTGCTCCAAGACTAGGAGGCCAGAGGTCTAACCCTGAAGTGTTACAGCTGTGAGAGCAGCGGG